AAGTTCAGCAATTTTATGCTAACATAAGCTATTTTGTACAAAAAAAATATCATTCTCTCCCATTCAAAACTTTTATCTGGAAATCCTTTGCTGTTCTCATGATCAAGGAGAAGTCTCTCATTTTCAAACAAAGTAAGAACATCCTTCTCCATCCATCTAAAAGAGAGGGTTGCAAAACTGCGATGCAACGACAGAGGAAAATTGTTTAGAGGAACCTCTGTCAAGCTTCGTTCCTCCACCCGGAGATCCTAGGACGTCTACTCATTAATTAGAGCAAGCCTACACCAACCTCTCTTTATTATAGTTTTTAATGACATCTTAATGGACGGCATCATAAAACACGGGCCTGTTTAAATTACCCATCATTGAGCATTTCTGACTGGCAGTCAGTGTTGATGGCAGAACTGCATTTTCCTTAATGCGGCAGTATGATGGAATTGCCTTTTAATGCATTACGGCAATTAAGCATTGTGCTCTAACCGCCAGTCGAAACAGGGGTTCAGACCGATAAGTCATCTGCCCATCTAAATAGTGATGCATGGCCCCGGCTTGTCCCTAACCTGCTACCGAGGGGGGGGGAGTGCTTTTTCCTAGCGCAAAGTGAGAACTGCATTAGCCCTCACCCAGTCAGACGTGTCTGGTTACAGGTAGTGTATTGATCGGGCTGAGTGAGACATTAAGAAGATGCCATTATGTCAATAGGCATTGATGGCCTTGAAACACAATCTGTCTCCTGTCAGGAAGTGGAGAGGACAAATCATCAAACTCGGTCCTCCGTGCCATTCGAGAACTTATTCCTTGGGCAAGAAAAACGACCTTGAAGGAATTGGCAAGGCGGAGTTGGGGAAGAGGGAGCGGGAGCCTGGCAGTTCACCTACACTCAAGGTCAGCTCTTCCACCCTGCACCAGTCGCAAGCAAGACAACGGTCCAAAATGATAGCTCAGAGTCATCAATCTCACTAGTACAGTGGTGCCTTGCTTTACGATTGCCCCGCATTACCACAAAACCGCTTAACAACAATCTTTTTGCGATCACAATTGTGATCGCAAAACGATGGTCTGAATGGGGAAATTTTGCTTTGCAATGATCGGTTCCCTGCTTCGGGAACCGATTCTTGGCAAAATGACGTTTTCTGCACAGCTGATCGGCGGTTTCAAAATGGCCACTGGGTGATTAAAATGGCTCCCCGCTGTGTTTAGGGATGGATTCCTTACTGTACAGGCAGCGAAAATGGCCTCCCTATGGAGGATCTTCGCTGGACAGTGAGTTTTTACTCCACTGGAACACATTGAACGGGCTTCAATGCGTTTCAATTGGGTTTGGGGGTTTTTTTTGCTTTACAATGTTTTTGCTTAACGGCGATTTTCCTAGAATGGATTATCATCGTTAAGCAAGGCACCACTATATAGGCCCATTAGTACAACAGGGATTGGGTGAGTCAACTCCTCCGTAATTGATTCCAATGGACTTACTCTGACTGCAATTTACTGTGCTGAACTGAGTTACAGTTGGCCATCGGAGTGGAACTTAAGGGAGGGGATGATTTGCCCAATCCCCACTCATTTAATGGGCCTGTCCCAGTCAGATTTACTTTGCCAAGCAACAGGATTTTGGCACCTGAACACGAGATTGGGCTAGGATGGTCACAGACCGTAAGGCATTGGCCAAAGTTTCAAGGAACTGCTATGCCTTGATGCATAATTCCGTTGTTAACAGCAGCTCCACCAGCGGCCAACTTGTTCCTATGCAGAATTCAAAATGCTGGTTCTAACTAATAAAGCCTTAAACGGCTTCAGTCCAAGCTATCTCAAGGACCGCATATCCCTTGATGAACCTGCTCAAGTGTTAAGTTCATCAGGGGAGGCCTTTTGTCTTGGTCCTGCCACCTTCACAGATGTGTCTGATGGGGACACAGGACAGGGCCTTCTCTGTGGCTGATCCCAGAGACTTTGGAACTCCCTCCCACTGGAGGCTCGTCTGGCCCCATCTTTGCTGTCCTTCCACAAGCAGGCAAAGACCTTTCTATTTGGGCAGGCTTT